CAAAAACAACAACATTACCTCCGTAGCCTTGACACGCCCCCCTCCTCCCCCTCCCCCCCCCACATATAAACACACAACTCGATAGTCGATTAAGATAAAATTCAGCAACCTTTATTTTCTATTTACTTCTTTTACGCGAGAAAACTGCTGGGGTGGGATTTTGAGCAAGTAAACTGGAGTGGGATTTTGCGCGGGTAAATTAGGGTGGGATTTTGCGCGGGAAAAGTGCCGGGATGGGATTTTAGGCGCGAAAACTAAGGGTGGTGTTTTGCATGATGGTCTGACACACACATAGCAATTATCTCTCTCAGCCCGGGGCCAGGTCATGCAACTTACCTCAGATGACCTAGTGCCTCCATGGGCGTAAGTAGTGGGGGGACTCTCACGCATGGGGGAGAGAGAGAGAGAGAGAGAGAGAGAGAGAGAGAGAGAGAGAGAGAGAGACCAGGGAAGAAAGGAAGAGGAAGAAGATAAATAAAAGTCTTACTACACACACAAAAGATTTTAATCACGTATTCTAACCCTGAAAAAATATTAACCCATCTGGGAGCAACATCGTCTTTCATGTAAACAGAATTATATCAGGGTTATAATGTTGTTGGTTCAAGGTCACCTGGTCGATCGTGCCTCTGGTTAGGTAAGATTATTATATATATATTTTTTTCCCCCGCTTTTGGGTAACTTAAATATATATAAAGTCTTTGTTTTTAATTCGATTTCCCCCAAAATTAAATACGAAAGTTATATAAATCTATTTCATCTCAACATTTTCAGTGCCGGGTAACAAAAACAAAACAAAATACAAACAAAAAAAACAAACAAACAAACACGAATGTACGGATCTATTAGGGGTTAGGATAGAAACTCTGAAAAAAAACTAAAACAAAACACAAACGCACAAATCAGTTCGTGTAACAAAAACAAATTAAAACAAAACAGATTAAAACAAACAAAAAACAAAACACGATCGCATTGGTGTAAGGTGCAGGTTGGGGGCTGGGGGGGGGGACCTGAGACGACCCACGACTAAAACATCTCCCTGTCATGTCATGGCACACTGTGTGGGTCACTACGGGAGGGAGATATGACAGGTGAGGGGAGGGGAGGGGAGAGGGGTTGTAGGATGACGTGGCGTGTGTAGGGAGGCATCTAGTGTGTTTGGAACCATCTGGGAGGGAGAGAGTGTAGACTTAAACCACCTGGTACGTGTGAGGCCCCAGCTGGAGGGGTTTACAACTAGCTGGTGTGAGTGGAACCACCTGGGAGATGATATGAGAGTATTAAAACCACCTGGTGTGTGTGTGTGTGTGTGTGTGTGTGTGATATGGGGATGAATAATACAATAATACAATCAGGACACGTGTATATAATGTCACTTATATGCGTAAACTACACGTACACATACACGCGATGTATAGGGCACGTATATATGACCCCTCAACACATATACAATTGACTTCACGAATATATAACTTTATACACATATATCATAGATCACACTTAGGACGTAGTGCAAAAGACACGGTTCAAGGAGCTGGGAGATATGACAGACACATGTCACGTTCATGGATACGTATATGTTGAAATATTAACGTAGACTTGGGTATTAAGGGACACGTAACATTTCCTCTTATGTAAAAGACACACAGGGCCAGTTTGGACACAGGTAGAATAAAAAAAAAAATGCGCCGCGTGAGACAGGTCAAAACTACCGTGGGCTATGCGTGAGATGGACTCTGGACATGCGGGACATGCAAGGGCTGCTGGGAAGCCGTAAATTGAAGGGAACAGAAGCGTCGTGACGTTATTAATGAGAGAGAGAGAGAGAGAGAGAGAGAGAGAGAGTGGGAGGGGGAAGGAGGAGAGGGAGGGAGGGAGTAAGGGAGGGGGTAGCGGCCTCACAGACATTGCTTTACCTTCGACTCTCCAGGAAACACTGAACAAAGCACTGTATTTGATTTCCATGCTTCCGTTTGTAATATTTTGCGATTTTCTTCCATAATTGGCGGTAATTACTGTGGGAAATCGTATAATATAATTTTCGTTACATAATTGGTCGTTGATATTCAGTTTCTATAAAAATCTGCGCTATAGGGCCTAACCTACAACAGTCCCTTGCAGTTAGTGGTAGTGGTGTGGTCTACGTGTTAGTACAGCGTGTGGCAGCCTACGTGTTGGTACAGCGTGTGGCGGCCTACGTGTTGGTACAGCGTGTGGCGGCCTACGTGTTGGTACAGCGTGTGGCGGCCTACGTGTTGGTACAGCGTGTGGTACGTGTTGGTACAGCGTGTGGCGGCCTACGTGTTGGTACAGCGTGTGGCGGCCTACGTGTTGGTACAGCGTGTGACAACGTGTTGGTACAGCGTGTGGCGGCGTGTTGGTACAGCGTGTGGCGGCCTACGTGTTGGTACAGCGTGTGGCGCCTACGTGTTGGTACGGCGTGTGGCGGCCTACGTGTTGGTACAGCGTGTGGCGGCCGTGTTGGTACAGCGTGTGGCGCCTACGTGTTGGTACAGCGTGTGGCGGCCTACGTGTTGGTACAGCGTGTGGCGGCCTATGTTGGCGTGTGGCGGCCTACGTGTTAGGCGTGTGGCGGCCTACGTGTTGGTACGGCGTGTGGCGGCCTACGTGTTGGTACAGCGTGTGGCGGCCTACGTGTTGGTACGGCGATGTGGCGGCCTACGTGTTGGTACAGCGTGTGGCGGCACGTGTTGGTACAGCGTGTTGTGGCGCGTGTGGCGGCTACAGCGTGTGGCGGCCTACGTGTACGGCGGTGGCAGCCTACGTGTTGGTACAGCGTGTGGCGGCCGTGTTGGTACGGCGTGTGGCGGCCTACGGCCGTGTGGCAGCCTGCGTGTTGCAGCGTGTGGCACAGCGTGTACGTGTTGCAGCCCTACGTGTTGGTACGCGTGGCGTAGCCTACGTGTTGGTACAGCGTGTGGCGGCGTACGTGTTGGTACAGCGTGTGGCGGCGTGTTGGTACAGCGTGTGGCGGCCTACGTGTTGGTACAGCGTGTGGCGTGTTGGCCGGCCTACGTGTTGGTACAGCGTGTGGCGCCTACGTGTTGCAGCGTGTGGCAGCCTACGTGTTGGTACAGCGTGTGGCAGCCTACGTGTTGGTCAGGTGGCGGCCTACGTGTTGGTACAGCGTGTGGCAGCGTACGTGTTGGTACAGCGTGTGGCAGCGTACGTGTTGGTACAGCGTGTGGCGGCCTACGTGTTGGTACAGCGTGTGGCAGCCTCACCACCGCTGTTTGTCTCCCTGTAGAGAGTGTAGACCCTTGTCATCAGTGTTGCTTGAAGCATGTTGTCTTACTCAAGTATCCGGGATTATTTCTTATTTTATACACAAATAACAGCACTTATTTCTTCTACACTTCCACCTACATGAAAACTTATATATATATATATATATATATATATATATATATATATATATATATATATATATATATATATATATATATATATATATATATATATATATATATATATATATATATATATATATATATATATATATATATATATATATATATATACAGGGTACAGTATATACTATATATATACTGTACGTCGTATATAATTACACCTATATAACATAAAGCAAATCTAGGTAACTACAGAAAATACGAATAAATTCTGAATCCTAAACTCGACAATACTCATAAAATAATATTACATAAACATAAATAATATTAAATTTAATCGCCGAGAACATTAACAAAAGACAATCGTCAAGTCTCCCCTCGGAGTGTTGGATGACGTAAGGAGAGGATCAATGCTCATGGTGTAACGTAAATAACACACAAGTTACGTCAACAAGACAAGACGACCTCAACGTTTATTATATCAGGATCACATAATAATTTATAGAAACATATTTGCTAAAACAATATAAAATATACAGATAAAAAAAATATAAGATAATACGCGATTTATGAAATACAAAATGCACTACAGGCATAAATAATCTCGGGAACTTTATAACAAAGGAATGAATAACAAAATACGATTGTTATTCTCTAAGATAAAATAAGTTGTTTAAAAAAATCTCAAACGTACAATAAATCACGTAAGTCATCATATGGAACAATACGTCACATGTATTGTAAAAACCAAAAAAAAACAAAAAAATAAAAACAAAAACAGCATTACCCTAAAAAAAAAACCACTCACTAAAACGTGTCGTAAAACAGTGATTATAAACCAAAAGCAAAAAAGCTGCCCGATGTTTTGTAAAAAATACTTTGATTATTTTCAGCTACTTATCAATATTTTCTTCTGTGCCGTTGTCCTGTCGTGATGTGTATGTTTATTCTGTGTATGTGTGTGTATGCTGGTGTATGTCCCGTCGTCTGCATGGTATGTTGTATGTTGTATGTGTCCTGGCACTCATGTTTCGTGGGATGTTTCATGAATGATGTATGTGTTCTGCTGACCCCATGTTGAATATTCAGATTATTAAACATGAGCTTCATATTTCACCTTCAAGATTTTTACCAGAATTCCAAAATGAAGTAAATCTGAATTTTCAACAGCATTACCTTCTTCTTCTCTGTCCATTTCTCCCCCTTTTGAACACAATAATTGTCTTGAGATAAAGACAATAAAATATTTCCTTATAAAGCTGCTTTTTATAAACTAACGATTAAGTAGAACTAACGCTAAATACTTTAAAATGTAAGAAAATTGACTTAAAATCAAATAAAATAGCCAATAGCCTCGTGTAATGCATAATAATCACTAAGACGTAGACATAAACCACAGCTAAAATATAAGTAAGAGAGACATTCCTTTCCCCCGTCCGCCAACAACTTCGGCAGGTCTCCAGGTGAGGGTCAGGAGGCGGGCTGTGGTCTCCATGCTTACCTTCAGGGGAATCTCAGCAACACGGAGACCCACAGGAGAGCATGGCGGCCACACCCCTATAACTCTCCTCATTTGCATACTCGCCGTGCGTCCCGGAAAGCCTGACACTAACACCACCCCACCCTCAGGTGAAGAGGAAGAAGGAGCGCCGTCTGGTGCAGCCCGAAGACACCAACTCCTCTGTCCACTTGACGGAGGCACAGCGAGCCATCACCATGGGCAGGGTGGAGACGGCTCTCTCCTGTGCCCAGAAGGTGGGTGTTCTAGGGACGAGGTTTAGTGGCCTGGGGTGACACAGCTGACAGCAGGAGCATTAAACACGTAATGCGGGACACTGAAGCGTAACTTTACACAACCCAACCTTTTGATTTACACTCAGGTACTGTATACCCGTTAGCTTCTATACATGTTTGTCTGGGAGAAACATCTTCACCCACACAACAAGTACAGCACAACATGATACTACACTCACGGCATTATAAAGTCCCTCAGATATATGTGGCCGTCACACATCACCTGGACGACTATTGTTATTTCAGAGATCGGCTGACTGAGAACCTTTTGCCCATGTCTGTGGACCATTACTGTGGTGTGAAAGAGAGGTAAGGAAATGGAAAGGAGTTATAAGAAAAGTAGAAGAGCAGAGGACGACGTGAATGGGTGTCTACTTGTTCTTTTCGAGTTGTTATACTTCACTCATGACCCTCCCTCAGGTATGTCCCTCCCTCAGGTATGTCCCTCCCTCAGGTATGTCCTTCCCTCAGGTATGTCCCTCCCTCAGGTATGTCCCTCCCCCAGGTATGTCCCTCCCTCAGGTATGTCCCTCCCTCAGGTATGTCCCTCCCAGGTAGTGACCCTCCCTCCCCCTCCCTCAGGTATGTCCCTCCCTCAGGTATGTCCCTCCCTCAGGTATGTCCTTCCCTCAGGTATGTCCCTCCCTCAGGTATGTCCCTCCCCCAGGTATGTCCCTCCCTCAGGTATGTCCCTCCCTCAGGTATGTCCCTCCCTCACCTAGCTCCCCCCCCCTCTCCCAGGCGGTGGAGTGTGGGGGCGACCCGGCGTCCCTAGTGGTGAGGGGACGCTGCCACCTGCTGCTGGGGCACCTGGAGGAGGCGCTCGAGGATGCCAGGGAGGCGCTCAAGAGGGACGCGTCGCTTGTCAAGGGTGAGTACTGCACGGGGAGAGTCATGCGGGCTCCTCCTCACGTCATACACTTGTTACAGTAAATAATACAACTGTGTAACAATACAGATGACATCACAGGTACATTACTGCTACTATTATTGATTCTTTTAAGCACAATGAACTGTTACATCATTAATGAACGTTCGTATTCGCTGGTAGTTATTATTGGCATATGGGAATGTTTCCTCCAGTATTGTATCTTATAATAATCATACCTTCCTCAGCTGTACTGGTGCAGGCGGAGGCGCTCTACGGGATGGGGGAGTTCGAGAGATCGCTGGTTCTCTTCCATCGAGGTGCCCGCAAACGCCCAGACCTGACCTCCTTCACCCGAGGCGTCCACAAGGCACGCGAAGCCATCATCAACGCCATTGGAGGTGGGAGCCGCTTGGGGTTGTCCCTCGGTCAGATTCAGTGGGATTGGAATAGATCCAACACTCCACACAGGACTGAGAATCTGAATGTTTTGAGCCGCAGTCAGATCCCCAGTCCCACATGGATTTAAGGATCGGATTCCAACTGACTGTATCCGGGAACGGAGAAAATGTAAACAAGGGGAGAGGGATCTTAGATGTAAATATCACAATAATCGATGATATGAAAATTGTTTCATGAGGTTTTCTATAATTTGGCAAAGAAAATTATATTTATTACTTCTTTAACTAATATTAATTTTCAGATAATAAGAAAACGATAAATACAATTAACGCATTTTAAAAAGGGGGTAAAACAATATGTTGTTTTGGCCCAACCCTGAGATAAGTAGATGTGTAAATAAAATAAGTGTTGGAACGTGACTAAATCTTCTTCCGCCTTGCCTCGTCTCTTGCAGCTATGGGTCGACTGAACGGCGGTGCCAGGAGTAAAGGTTTATCTTTGGTCAAACATGTTTCGTTGTTGTTTACTGTATAACTATTTCCAGATTTTGATGTGAAACTACACTAACAACGACCCTTTGAGAGCCAATTAACACCATCTTATTGGTTATACACAATGTTAAAGTTGATTCCAGTAAGAATTATACATTATAGATTACCAATAAAATAACTTTCGTATTTTTAATAATTTTCGTATAAAATTTCACCTATGTTGCACATCGAATATTTTTTCTTCTTCACTATAGTATATGTAAAAACTTCATTCAATACTCCCCTGTAACTGTGGTTGGTGTAGTCACTTCAGAATCTGGAGTTCTTGTAGTGAGGGCAGCCCATGAGGACCTCAGAGCTCCCCTTGGAGAACGCTAAACCACTTGTGACATTCTTCAACTTCCTTCTTGTAATGTAGAAGTTACCAGTCTGCTATAATGTACTTCTCAAACTCGAGTTTATTTTAAGAAGTTAAACGTAGATGGGTGTAAGGCTGTTTGCCTCTACAGCCGCATTTGTTACAGTCTGATTTATTTTGTAGTTTGTGCTGTAGTTTCTGTACGTTGCTGTAATGTTTGGGTTTCATTTAACTGTTTGTTACTGGAGTGTTTTACCGTCAGTGACTTTGTTGTTCTCTAAGATGTATTTTTAAGGCCAATTTGATCTGTGTACGTCCTTGGTTGATGCACAGGTGTCGTGTGTACGTACTTTTGATGCACATAAGCCAAGTGTGTTCGCATTTTCGACGCACACGTAAAGTCTAATTATTTGTTTTTGGTGCACGTAAACCGTATGTGCATTTTGATGCACATTTGTGTACGTATTTTTCATCCTCATATAACGTGTGTGTACGCATTTTTGATGCACATGTGATGTGTGTACGTATTTTTGTGCACAAGCCACACATTTTGTCTCTGTGAAGCACATTTTTACCGTGTGTCTTGGTGTTTTGACGCACGCGAGATAAGAGTTTGACTGCCATATTTTTAATGTTTTGTTATGTGTTTGTCACTCACCTGTGACGTAGTCATGTTGTTTTCACAGTGACGTCACCTGCAATGTGTGTGTGTGTGTGTGTGTGTGTGTGTGTGTGTGTGTGTGTGTGTGTGTGTGTGTGTGTGCGTGTGTGTGTGTTCTTTCCGTCACGTAGAACAAACTGTGCTGTGTTGGAGTAGTGTTGTGAAGTAGTTATACAATAGTAGTGTTTATCCCGTGGAGTTACACTGGATGGCTCTCTTAGAGCTTCTTGTAAAGTACAGAGCTCTTGTATCCAGCTGTGTGTGTGTGTATATATAGAGTATTTCTTGAAGCCAAACACAACAAAAAACAAAACAACAAATAAATTACTTCACCCGAGGAACACACTCAAGTCAATCGAAGGACTTATAGTGCTACCTTCCAAATCACAGTCATTTGAGGTTAGAGGTGCTATCATCCTTACACTAACCGACACAGAACCTGTTTTAAAGTGTAAGTGTTGAACAGGACCTCAACCATATTGAATGTGAGAGCATGTAAGTGAGTTATAAGTACATTATAAGTACATCCTTGGGTGTGAGTGCGTTCCTCTCTCTCCCTCCCCGGCTGTAGGCTGTATGCCTCGAGAGTAGACAGTGCATGATTCCTGCCAGTATCTTAGTGCCTCAACCTGCAGTGAACGCAGTCTTTTATCTCAATTACTTCACGACAAAATTATCAAACACTTCAAGGAATTATAACCATAAGTCTCAGAGAATTATTACACACACCTTAAATAATTATCATAAAGCAGAGAATTATCAATAAATTTTGATCTAGAATCTTAACAACTCGTACGATTGAATTATCTGTAAGTCAAGATATATAAAATGAACCTGACCTAACGTAACGTAACGTAACCGAGACTAACTGGCGAATTTAAGATAAACCGCCAAATAACGTCACAAAGCAACACTGACGTTACACCGAGACTCTACCTTAACTAGATACCTTTCCTTAACACAAGACTGAAGTAACATACAACATTTAACTACAAACTCTATCACTTAAGCTTGTGTCTTAACCCTTCAAAGGATTAAATCTTTGTCCTTAAAGGGTTAAATCATAGTCCTCAAAGGGTTAAATCACAGTCCTCAAAGGGTTAAATCACAGTCCTCAAAGGGTTAAATCATGTAGTCCTCAAAGGGTTAAATCACAGTCCTCAGAGGGTTAAATCATGTAGTCCTCAAAGGGTTAAATCATAGTCATCAAAGGGTTAAATCATCCTCAATGGGTTAAATCATCACCAAAGGGTTAAATCATCACCAAAGGGTTAAATCATCACCAAAGGGTTAAATCATCACCAAAGGGGTAACTGGCACTACGAGAAAGTATTTACTTAAGGCTGAGTCTCACATTGAATGTTTTTTAACTGTTATTTCAAGTTTGTATTAATAAATCATATCAGGCACATTGTTACCTCTTCACTTACGAGAATACATCATCGTAAGAAGCATTAAGAATCTGGAGCCATAACAGTTATCATATAGTTCATACAGTCAAGAATTATCCCACGAACCAGTCACTCAGTCAAAACTAGTCATTCTACAGTTACAGATACAAGTTACAGTCAAACAAAATTTCAAACATCAGTAAATTACTCTGTATGACACATTCATTAACTCCAATACAAAAAAATAAACATAAATAGATTCAAATTAACCATGATAACACTTTAATAATAATAATAATAATATAAATAATAAGAACAACAATAATAATAATAATAATAACAATAATAATAATAATAGTAATAAAATAATAATAATAATAATATAAATAATAAGAACAACAATAATAATAATAATAATAATAATAATAATAATAATAATAATAATAATAATAAACATATAGTAGGAAAAAAATATTGATTTTGTAATATATTAAACAAACTCGAGTCGTTCCACTTGTATTTACGTTCACCAAAACCCTACTAGACTAGACGATACATCCAAGAACATCGTCACTCACATAGATGAAATATTAGCGTTATGGTTATTATCAAACTCGTGTGAGCTTTTACAAGGGATCAATATATCTGCCAAGTTTCATGAAAATCCGTATTAGGTTTTTTTAAGAGTTATGGCGTTCTCACAAGAGCCGCTGACGAGATGGGTACACAAGACGCATGGGAATTCATAACTTCCCACGAACGCGTTTGGGAGGATCGATAAATATAAGTAAAAACTGCAATAAATAATTCATATAATTACTATTGATTGCCTTTGTTGATGTACTTATCGGTAATTGATGTTTATACGAATGACCGTAGCATCAGAGAGAACTAACAAACATAAGGGTACAACAGTGAAGAGATTTGTTAATACGTCGTCATTATCAATAGCCTCACACACACACAGGCAGCATAAGCTTTTGACTAATGACTCACTAAAGCTTAATTAACTATTCTTAAACGAGAGTCATTAGGGCAGTAAATCACATAGAGTTATTAATACGCCTTTAATTCCGTTTACAGTAATTAAATATATAAATGTTTTTAGAATTAAATAACGATGAACCAATAATTAAGAAAATATTTGTTAATTACGATAAAAAAAAAGATTCTCAAAGATTCGTACCTGGATATTGAGTTATCTTTGTCCCTTAACTATTGTTACTAGATTGAAGAAACAGTCTCAGAGCAGTTTCAACGCCATTTTGAGTCGTAACTTGAGTGAAGCCAAAGTTTTACTGCCTCACATCACATCGGGGAAAGACTTGATAAACGAATATTTGAGAATCCAGATTCATGTGTTATCAAGTACACGAACGGTACCAGAGACCTCACCTGTACACACTACCTACCATACTCTACCCACACTACCTCACCTTCCCTCCCTCCCCCTTGTTGCTGAGGCACTTTATATGTTTCCTCCCTCTTATCTGTCCCTCTACCTCTCTATGTACTCTCCTCACCGTCCCTCTACTTCTTCACGTACTCTCCTCACCGTCCCTCTACTTCTTCACGTACTCTCCTCACCGTCCCTCTACTTCTTCACGTACCCTCCTCACCGTCCCTCTACTTCTTCACGTTCCCTCCTCACCGTCCCTCTACTTCTTCACGTACCTCCTCACCGTCCCTCTACTTCTTCACGTACTCTCCTCACCGTCCCTCTACTTCTTCACGTACCCTCCTCACCGTCCCTCTACTTCTTCACGTTCCCTCCTCACCGTCCCTCTACTACTTCTTCACGTACCCTCCTCACCGTCCCTCTACTTCTCCACGTACCCTCCTCACCGTCCCTCTACTTCTTCACGTACCCTCCTCACCGTCCCTCTACTTCTCCACGTACCCTCCTCACCGTCCTTCTACTTCTCCACGTACCCTCCTCACCGTCCCTCTACTTCTTCACGTACCCTCCTCACCGTCCCTCTACTTCTTCACGTACCCTCCTCACCGTCCCTCCACCTCATCACACTCCCTCACACTCTCTTATCACCTACAGGAGACAAGTTCCCAGAAGCCGAGGAGCCGCTGACGGGGACGAGCCTGAGTGATGGCACCGGGGGGTCAGGTCAGTCCCAGGCCACCTCCGTCCCCACCATCTGCCTCACTGAATCCAAGGGCTCCAAGTCCGCCTCCAAGGTCAGTGGTCCTTCCCATGGACTATCAATCTACCTCTGAGGACAACGAGATTGATAGAGAGATTTATTCTGGTTGATTGTGTTTACTTAGTCTTGACTGAGGTAAACGTTATGCTTGTTCTGTCGTTATAGATCTACAGTAGGGGTCGTTGTCAGAGGCAACCCGTTGATGTAGAATGTGTTGACTTGATGGAGGTTATATGGGACAGAGGAAACACTGTGGCAGGGAGTTCCCCAGTACTATGTCAGGGTATCTACACCTTGACTAAGATACCAACTTTGCCAATAAATAAGTTATAACAGTTTGTTTCTGAATAAACAACTTCAACATCGGCTTTAACTTCAACTTATTCTTGAGCTTATGTACAGGAGATACATAATACATGTGTCCTGAGTCGTGCACGTCTCCACAGCGTCTGCTGGGAGGCCTGAGTAAAGACAAGGAATTCCTAGCGTCGCTCGTGGGTCGTCGGAGTCTCCGGCGGGAGGTTGTGACGGGCGTGGAGGCAAGCAGCCAGGCCACCTACTCAGGCTCTCAGGTGGCCGCCGTGGCCAAGGAGGCTCTCATCTCCCTCCAGGTTAGTGAACCAAACATACATTTACCAAGTAATTTGCATATTGACACACTAGTACACCTCCAGAAGAAACCATCATGTGTATGTCAGGTGTCTACCTCTACCGTTCTATAATAATATCTGTAAGCTGAAAAGAAAAAGGCGGAAAAAACCAGCGTGCCAACTTACGATGAAATAAGGAAATTACATCTTATGGAAACGCAATTACAAAAAGAACATCCATATTAGTTTGTAGCCTCGTAGACTGTTAAAGAAAACGAATAGACTATAACCCGTCCATTCTCTATGAGGGATGTTATAGGAGTAACTTGTTTAGAAAATTACTGTACTAGCCAACATTTTTATTTATGTTTTATTTAATGTTTTATCTTTACTAGAGACGGGAGAAAGTATATTG